TGTCTGATTTCTCTACATTTATCTGCCGCCCCCTCTAAGTTCTAGCTTAATTCATTCTTAGTTCTTAGAACTTGTCTTAGTTCTGCCCCTTGGTCTTTCTCATCTAATTCTTTTTTTTTTTTTTTTTTTTTTTTTTTTTTTTGGTTTTTCGAGACAGGGTTTCTCTGTGTAGTGTTGCACCTTTCCTGGAACTCACTCTGTAGTCCAGGCTGGCCTCGAACTCACAGAGATCCGCCTGGCTCTGCCTCCTGAGTGCTGGGATTAAAGGCGTGCGCCGCCACCGCCCGGCTCATCTAATTCTTACCCACTAGTTCTTCCCCATCTGGCTCTTCCTCATTTTCCATCTCATTCTTCTAGTTCTCCTGTGCCTTACAGCACCATTTCTCTTTCCTTTCCTTCCTCTCTCCCACCTCAGCAGACGACGACGGAGGCATTCAGAAGCTCCAGGCTCCATGCCAAGTATGGTGGTTCATGCTGTGATGTCAGTACTTGGGAGGGGGAGGCAAGAAGATTGCCGAGTCCAAGGCCAGCCTGGGCTTCAGAGTGAGTTCCATATCAGTCTGGGCTACAGAGTGAGATCTTGTCTCATAAAACAATATGAAATCCTGGAGTTGAGTGACATTGTTACATTAGGCTGGCAGAGCCAGAAATTCCTGTCCATGCATCTTATTCTTGTGGCTTGATTCTCAAGAGCTTCTATTGGTTACATGGTCAAAAGGTCAAGGTCATCAAGACTACCCATTTCGATTTTGTTTTTGTTTTTGTTTTTTTGTTTTTCAAGACAGGGTTTCTCTGTTTTGTTGGTGCCTTTCCTGGATCTCACTCTGTAGACCAGGTTGGCCTCAAACTCACAGAGATCCACCTGGATCTGCCTCCTGAGTGCTGGGATTAAAGGCATGCAGCACCACTGCCTGGCTTTCAATTTTTTATTAAAAGATGATCCCTTGTAATTAGTGAAACAATATTGCTGGCGATCTCCACCCTTTAATTATTTTGTGATTGGATTGCACTTTCATTCTGGAAGTTCCTTCATAATCAGCCCTTTGTATTCATGGGTTCTGCAGTGGTGCACTCAACTAATTGTGGGTTAGAAACATTTGGGGAAAAACACACATGTACTGAACATGTACAGACCTTATTCTTGTCATTGTTCCCAATATAGCATGGCAATTATTTCTATAGATTTCACTGTGTCACAGGTATGAGTAATCTAAAACTGACAACTGATTTAGTGGTATAGGCCTGTAATTCAGGTATTTTGAGATGTAAGCAAAAGAATGGCAAATTCAAAGCCAGCCAGGGCAACATAGTGAGATCTTGTCTCAAAGAAAGAAAGGATTTTTTTTTTTTTTTTTTTAGGTTTTTCGAGACAGGGTTTCTCTGTGTAGCTTTGCGCCTTTCCTGGAACTCATTCTGTAGCCCAGGCTGGCCTCGAACTCGCAGAGATCCGCCTGGCTCTGCCTCCCGAGTGCTGGGATTAAAGGCGTGTGCCACCACCGCCCGGCGATTTTTTTTTTTAAAAGAGGGCAAAGCTGGGCATGGTGGCACATGTCTTTAATCCCAGCACCTGGAAGGCCGTGGTAAGTAAATTTATAAGTTCAAAGCCAACCTGGTCTCTATAGATAGGGCTACACAGTGAGACTCTCTGAGAGAGAGAGAGAGAGAGAGAGAGAGAGAGAGAGAGAGAGAGAGAGAGAGAGAGAGATTTATTTTATTTATTTATGTGTGTGGTTGTACCTGCATGAGTTTAGTTCATCACATCTGTGCAAGTGTTCATGGAGGTCAGAAGAGGTCAGATTCTCTGGAATTGGAGTGACAGCATTGTGAGGCGCCAGATGTAGGTGCTGGAAACTGGATCCTAGGCTCTCTGAAAGAGCTGAGCCATCTCTCCAGCCTCTTGATTCTTTTTTTTTTTTGGAGCTGAGGATCGAACCCAGGGCCTTGTGCTTGCTAGGCAAGCGCTCTACCACTGAGCTAAATCCCCAACCCAGCCTCTTGATTCTTTTTTTTTTTTTTTTTTTTTTTTTTTGGTTTTTGGAGACAGGGTTTCTCTGTGTAGCTTTGCGCCTTTCCTGGAACTCACTTGGTAGCCCAGGCTGGCCTCGAACTCACAGAGATCCGCTTGGCTCTGCCTCCCGAGTGCTGGGATTAAAGGCGTGCGCCACCACCGCCCGGCTCAGCCTTTTGATTCTTAAAGGAAAAGTACATCCCACTACATGACAACAGCATTGTCTCCTTCTGGTGATCCTTCATCTAACCACCTGGGTTTTTCCTTAGTGGCAGTGGACCAGGGACACTGTGGCAATCACACTGACTTCTAAAATGAGAAGACACTCCCTCTCCAGCTGACGTCCTTTGTGTGCTTTACGTTGCTCACACAGAGCAGGAGCTGCAGGCTGCCTGCCTGCTATTTTTTTTTTAAATTTATTTATTTATTATGTATACAGTGTTCTGCCTGCATGTATGCCTGCAGGCCAGAAGAGGGCGCCAGATCTCATTGTAGATGGTTGTGAGCCACCATGTGGTTGCTGGGAATTGAACTCAGGACCTCTGGAAGAGCAGCCAGTGCTTTTAACCCCTGAGCCATCTCTCCAGCCCAGCAACCTGATATCTTAGTTATAGTCCTCAATACTGATTTTCACAGCATTTCTTTTGAGGGTTCCACCTGCTATGACAGCTAACTTCTGTTTATCATATTGATAGTTTCCTTTGTAAACAAATCACACAAGATACGTTGTGTTCATTGTAGCATCTTAAGATAACTCGAGGGGAGGCCTCGAGAGATCCTTCAGCATTACATGCACTGGTTGCCCTTGCAGAAGACCTGAGTTGACTCCCAGCACCCTCACTGTGGCTCATAACCTGTAACTCCAGTTCCAGAGGACCTGATGCCTCTTCTCACTTCCTTAGGCACTGCACACATTTGGTGTACATATTCAGGCACACACACACATAAACTTTAATAATAGATTTTTTTGTTGTTTTGGTTTTGTTTTTGAGACAGGGTTTCTCTGTGTAAGAGCCCTGGCTGTCCTGGAACTTGATTTGTAGACCAGGCTGGCCTCGAATTCTTTTAAGTTTTTTTAAAAAAAAAACCCAAGGGGGAAAAAGAATCACAGTTTGTCTTGGTTACTTTTCTATTGCTGCAATAAGACTCATGATTAAGGCAACTTTGAGTTTATTGTGGGCTTACATAGGTTCCAGAGGATTAGAGTCCGTTACCATCATGGTGCGGAGCATGGCAGCAGTCAAGCCAGGCATGGAGCTAGAGCAGTAGCTGAGAGCTCACATATTGACCCACAAGCAGAGGTAGACAGAAGTAACGTGGGAATGGCTATGAGCTTTTGAAACCTCAAAACCTGTCCCCAGTAACACACCTCCTCCAACAAGGCCACACCTCCTCGTCCTTCCCACATAGTTCCACCAACTGGAGACCAAGTATTCAAACATATGAGCTTATGATGGTGATTTTCATTCAAACCACCACATAGTTTAAATCTAAATTCTTGGGTTGGGGATAGCTCAGGTAGTATAAACCCAAAGACCTTAGTTCGATTCCCTGCACATCAGAGGTGGGGAGGTGGTTTGTAATCCTAGTGATGGGGAAACGTAGACAAGAGGATCCTTAGGGCTCACTTACCAGCTAGCCTAGCTGAGAGAGGGGTGGGGGATGGCCAACACCTCTGCTCTGGAGGTTTCAGTTAGCAGTGATTGGCTGTTTGTCTGCTACACCAGGCCTTGGCTACCATTGATACAGATAGGGCTTGTTCAGCCGACCTTTGATGTTTCTTTTCTTTTCTTTTTTTTTTTTTTTTTTTTTCTCTCGTGATAGGGTTTCTCAGTGTAACAGTCCTGGCTGTTCTGGAATTCACTCTGTAGCCCAGGCTGGCCTTGAGCTCAGAGATCAGCCTGCCTCTGCCTCCCGAGTGCTGGAACCTTTGGTGTTTCAAGAGCTTAGATGGGACCTACCTAGCCAGACTCACAGTCTGAAGGAGTCAGGAAGTTAGTTATGTCCTCTGCAAGTCCCTGACCCCAGGCACACAGAGTAGGAATTACCAGTCAGTGGGTTGGCATTCTTTTGGTTGGAATGTCTTTGTCTCTGGGTCCCTCATACCTTCCATCTCCCTGTGGGCTGAGAAATCAAATAGAGGGGCCCCAGGTGGCGAGATGGTGGAGAGTAAGCTTTTTTTTCTTTTCTTTTTTTCTTTTTTATTTTTTTATTATGTAGCATTGACTCTCTTGTCCCAGCCTCTTAAATGCTGGGATTACATGTGTAAACCATCACACCCAGGCTCTGGAGACAGAGCACTCTGCTTGCTCAAAGCCTTGCCCACCAGTCTTAAATTGCTGAAGAGATGGTTTAGCTGTTAAAAGCCCACACTGCTCTTAGAGAAAACCTGAGTTTGGATCCCAACACCCATTAGGATGCCTCCAAAGCTCCTTTAAAACTCCAGCTGCAGGATATCAGAGGCCTCTGGTCTCCACAGACACCAACACAAACACACACACACACACACACACACACACACACACACACGATTAAAAATGAAATAAATCTTTTTAAAAGTTAAAAAAAAGTGTTGGAGAGTGTTTGTTCTTTTGATGAGATAAACACTGTCTGCTGATGCCTTGACCCAGAAGAACACAGTGTAGGCAGAGCACTTGCCCAGCCACGTGCAAACTCTTGGGTTCCACCCCAGCACCCTAGTAGCAAGAGAACTGCAGGCACACATAATTTGTATACAATTTTGGGGGTATGCAGACCCTCTTTACTTTGTCCTCCGAATTCGACGCAGCATTTACCGAGGTGAATTCTGAGGTACAGAGTGGGGAAAGGACTGTTCAAGGGAACAGATGCAGTTAGTTGCAGAGCTCCAGGAGCTCAGAGGTGCGGATACGGATTGGAATTGTGTGTCTGTGGATTTGGAGGACTGTGCTTGAAAGGGAGGCTGGCGAGGCGAAGGTGTGGCTTTGTCTAGCCCCGCCCCCTCCACCGGGCTGGGGCGTGGCCTTCCTCCGACCTGCTCTGGTCCAACATGGCTCCGCGGTTGTGCATCATCTCTGCAGCGGCACGGCGGCTGCTGGGGAAGCCGGGACCCCGCGCTGGGGACCTCGCCGCTGCGGCTGCTGTGCGGTGAGAGGCCGACGGGGCCGACCGCGTGCCCGGAACAGGGGCAGGGGTGGGGGCTGGAATGAAGAGCAGACTCTTGGGTTTAGAATTTCGGGGGTTAGAGGCGGAGATGCCAGGATGTAGGCCTTAGGAGAGTCTGAGAAAGAATGAGGGAGGTGAAAAGATATGGGTAGGGTTTTGTTTTTTAAACAGGTTCACACTACATGTGATTCGAACTCGGAATCCTCTTGCCTCGGCCTCCTAGATATTACTGGCGTGCATTACCATGCCTTGCTGGGCAGGTTCTTTGTCCTGTTTGGGACCTGAGTCTGGGCTGAGAATAAAAAATGAGGTGAGTGGGAGGGACAGGTCTTGAGTACTGGAGCGGGGACGAAGGCAGAGGACAGTGGCAGCAGCCCTCTAGTCTGGCCTTTGTGGTTTAGCACGCGCTGGGGGCTTCTGGGCCTGGCAGCTCCTCCCTCAGAAAGTTCTAGGAGGAAGGAGAGGAGGACTGAGGTACAGTGGGGATTCCCAAAGTGATTCCTCACCCTGCACTGTACAGTGGGTCAGCAGAAGTGGGTTAGAGTTGTTCAAGGTCAGTCTCTCAGCCGTGCGGAGGCTGCTCTGGATGTAGGACCCAGGTCTCATGATGCACCCTGCACTTTGCACCACCGCTGGTGGCCTAACAGAGAGGCTGGGCTCTGGCTGCGCAGGGCTTGGCTTCCCCTGACTGGCTCTCGGCTGCTCCTCCCTCCACCGTGCAGGGTCCTGTACTATCCCCGTCTCTGCACTTACCACCCTGAGCACTTCTGACCCCGTGCTAACCTGTCGTTCCCTAGTCCTTCTCCTGTTTGCGCAGCCGTACAGGTTTGAGGACAGGGTATGTGCAAAGAGTATTTGCTAAAGAAGTGAGAACACCTGTCCTCACACCTGTGGAAAGGAATCCGCGCTCCTCCTGCCCCAGCCCAGGAGTGAAGCCATATAGTCCCATTAGATCACTGTGCGCTGGGACTTTTGGAAAGCTGAGATATCTGAGTTGGACGTGTGCCCTTCACCTCCATGCTGGATAAAGAGGGAGAAGTTGACATTGGGAAATGAGCCTGGAGTGTACCTTGTAAACAGCCTTTTGTGGAGGGATGACCTTGGGCAGAAGGAGGAAACAGGATGTATCCGATAGGATTGCAATGTGTTGCTAGAAAAAGAATTCAGGAGCTTAGGTATGCTAGGCTAGTGCTCTTTCTACCAATTAAACCAGAATATTTCTAGACTTCATTGGATTGTTGAGGATTAAGAAGCCATGCTTGTGTTTCCCATTGCCCAAGCCTATGCCTCAAGCAGTTTCTGTCATGGTGAGAGCTGAAAGGCTATCAGGAAGACAATCTTTTAATTCATTAAAATACTACTTTGAGCCGGATGGTGATGGCGCACACTTTTAATCCCAGCACTTGGGTGGCAGAGGCAGGCGGATCACTGAGTTGGAGGCCAGCCTGGTCTGCATATCCAGCTCCAGGACCCAGGACAGTTAGGACTACATAGAGAGACCATGTCTCATAAAACAAAACAAAACAAACAAACAAAATTATTTTAGGGCCTAGAGAGATGATGGCTTAGTACTGATTGCCCTTTCTGAGTACCCGGGTTGATTCACAGTTCACACACGTGACCACTTACAGCTGTCTGTAACTCCACCTCCAAGGGGTCTTCACAGGTGCCAGGTGTGCAAGTGGTGCGTAGACACACGCAGGCAAAACACCCACGTATAACATAATTTAAAATTTATTTTGTGTGCACGTGCAACTGAACACTTGTGTGTGTGTGCATGTCCGTACTGTGGCACATGTGTGGAGCTCATCATGTGGCTCCCAGGCATCTAACCCAGGTTGTCAGTCTTGGCAGCTGGTGCCTTTACATTTCACTGGCCCAAGATCATCTATTTTTTTTTCTTTAAAGAAATTTTACTTTTATTTATGTGTGTATAGAGAGGAGAGAGAGAGTGAGAATGTACACATGAATGCAGGTGCCCACTGAGACCAGAAAAAGGAGTTCAGTCTCTTAGAACTGGAGTTCCAGGCTGTTGTGAGCTACTGATGTGGGTGCTGGGAACCAAGCTTGGGTCTTCTGCAAGAACACTGTGTTCTCTTAACCACCAAGCCGTGTCCAGCCCACGGATCACCTTTTTTTTTTTTTTTCACTCCTTCGGGACAGGGTTTCTCTGGGTAGCCCTGGCTGCCCTGGATCTCGCTCTGTAGACCAGGCTGGTCTCGAACTCACAGAGATCCGCCTGCCTCTGCCTCCGAGGGCTGGGATGAAAGGCGTGCGCCACCATCTGCCCTGCACAAGATCGTCTTTTAGGAGACCGTGTTTCCCTGAGGGAGGGAGACACTGAGACTGAGAAAGGAGCAGAGTCAGTTGGTGGTAGGATTTTTTTGTGTGGCGGACACCCGGGGGTCACAGAGGGGGGGGAGGGGTTAGAGGCAGCCTGCTGCTTCTAAGTTTGGGAATCCTGGATGATTCTTGGTGACTCTGGTTTCTTTCTGTGTAAAATGGGTAGGGTGATCCCTGCCATGCACTGTGAAGACTCTCAGCACTTATCTACAATACTTACCCTCAATGATTTGCATTTTTTCCCCCCCCCGGCCCCGTGTTGAGACCTGACACCACCCGTTCTTGTTGACCTTCAGCCTGCGCCCTATCTTTCTGGAGTCACTCTTGGGGCTGGCTGTAATACCAAAGATTTGGGGTAAAGAGACTGCATGGCCAGCACTTTACTTGATGAACCATCTTGCTGGCCCCTTCATTGTTTTGAAATTTTATTGTAAGAGGAGAGGTGAATATGATTACAACACATTGTACAAAATCCTCAAAGAATTAATAAGTTAAAAATAAATGTACTGGGAGGATTAACTTGTATATAGTAGCTGCTCAATAACCAGTGCTATTTAGGGATAATGGTTCATGCTTGTATTCCTATCACTGATAGACTGAGGTAGGGGGATCATGAGTTAGAAGCTAGCCTGGGATATATAGCAAGACTCTTTTGAAAGAAAGAAAGAAAGAAAGAAAGAAAGAAAGAAAGAAAGAAAGAAAGAAAGAAAGAAAGAAAGAAAGAAATTCTTGTTACTCTTACACTAATCTTGTTGCCCAGAAGCCTTTAGTGAGTTATAAAGGGTGGTTTGGCTTGTTTGTGTATGTGTTTCCCCTTATGTCACTGGGGCTTGAACACAGGACGTCACACATGCTAGCCAAGCTGTATCTGCAGCTACAAACTTTAGTTCTTATAGCCAAAAACACCTCTCTCATGATAAGCAGAACTGTGGTTCCTTTCTAAAGTCAGCCAGCTCAAATTGAGAAGATGTTTCAGGACCTACAGAGAGCTGAACTTTCTAGTCTAGAAGGTTCTGAGGTTCTCGGGCCACTGCACTCGGACTGTTGACTTCCATTGGCAGTATGAATGTGACGTCTACAATAACTTTTCCTAAGGAGATGGAAATGTTCTTGTCTAGATCAAGTAATTTCTGACCTATTTTGTCGGAAGCATTGTGCGAGGTCACGTGGGGAATGGAAGGATGATGTCTGTGACTTGCTGTATAGCTGTGGGAAAAGACAAGGCTGTATGAAGCTAAGGTAAAACTATGAGAGTGTCTCATGGGAAAGGGCTGGACTGGTCTAGCTGGGGCAGATATCTTTCATTCTTCTCGACTGGGGTTGAATTTAGGGCCTTGTGAATGCTGGGCAAGTGTTCTATCACAATGCCATATCCCTCGCCTTTTTGACATTGATTTTGAGACCTAGTCTTACTAAGTTGCTTGAGCTGGCCTTGACCTCCATTTGTAGCCCAGGCCTAAGGTAAACTTGGAATCACCCTGTCTCAGCCCTCTGAGTCCTGGGGAGTCTCAGGTAGCAGCTGCCATTCCTAGCTCTGTAGGCCCTTGTTATTCATTTGGTTAGGGTTTTTGTTTTAAGATTTAAAAAGTTATTTGCTTTATTTATGTGTGTGTTGGCATGAGTTTATGTGGACCATGTTTATGCAGGAGCCTGCAGAGGCCAGCTCTCCTGAAACTGGAGTTGCAGACTGTTGTGAGGTGCCAGGTGGGGCTGGCAACCAGTTCCAGGACAGGCTCCAAAGCTACACAGAGAAACCCTGTCTTGAAAAACAAAAACACTCAGGAGGCAGAGCCAGGAGGATCTCTGTGAGTTCGAGGCCAGCCTGGTCTCCAAAGCCAGTTTCAGGAAAGGTGCAAAGCTACATAGAGAAACCCTGTCAGGTCCACTGTAATAGCAGTAATTGCTATTAGCTGCTGAGCCATCTCTCCAGCCCTTGTTTTGTGTTTTATATATAGCGTAGCTATAGCTCTGTAGCTATAGCTGGCCTGGAACTCTCTCTGTAGACCTCACAAGGATCTACCAGCCTCTGCCTCCTGATTATTGGGATTAAAGGTATATGCTACCAAACCCAGCCTATTTTATCATTTATTATTGTGTGTGTATCTGAGTATGGGTTTGTACATCTAAGTATAGGTCAGGTAGGACAGTGGGTCGCATCGGGTTCTCTGGAGCTGGAGGTGGTTGTAAGCCACCAGGCATGGGTGCTGGGAACAGAACTCAGATCTTCTGTAAGAGCAGTAAGTGCTCTTAACCACTGAGCCATCTCTCTAGTCCCATTAGTGTTTGTTTGATTTGTTTTGGGGACAGGGTATGTAGTCCTGGCTGTCCTGGAACTTGCTATGTAGACCAGGCTTAAAGATGTTTGCCACTATGCCAGCAACTTTAGGTTTTGGGGTGTGTGTGTGTGTGTGTGTGTGTGTGTGTGTGTGTGTGTGTGTGTGTGTGTGTTTTGAGATAGGGTCTCATATAGCTTAAATTTTACTATTTGCCTGAAGATGACCTTGAAATATTATAGGCATACTTCACTAAATCTGCCCTGTGTAGACTTTTAAAAACTCAGATTGGGGTTGGAGAGATGGTGTAATAGTTAACAGTGCTGGCTGTATAACCATAAGACCGGAGTGTGGATTTCAGCATCC